GCTGACGGGGGCAGGGAGAGGTGCAGCGGCGCTGGCCGGGGGAGATCAGGAAGAGGAATGGGCCAGCGGGAAGTAGAGCTGGAGGGGGCAGGGCAGTGCAGGGGGGCTGACTGGGAAAGATCAGGAGGGAAAGTGAGGGAGAACCGGCCGGCTGGGAAGGGACGAGGGGGTTAGCAAATTGGCCGGTGGGGAGCCGGACTGACCTGGGCACTTGCTGCGTGTCCTGCGCAGACTCCCGGCAACGCAGGAGAGAGGAGGAGGCTGCCCTTCCTCCTCACACTCAACTGACCGAGGGCTCCCGGCGTCAATCGCGGCCCCGCCGCCCAGCTGGGACTCCCAACCGCTCCCCCCTGGCCCACACCAGGCTTCAGTCCAGTGCGCAGCTGGAAAAATCTGAAAATACCAGACATTGCACGTGTCTGGTATTTTCTGATTTTTTTTACCGGACAGAGCACACAAATACTGGACTGTCCGGTACAATACCAGACACTTGGCAACCCTAGGCGGCACCACAGGCCTGCCCATATTATGCCCAGCTCCACCACATCCTATGGGATGGGTCAGTCCTTGCTCCCCCACCTCGTTGTGGACTCAGGGCCAGAGACACCCACTGTCACCCTCCTAGGGGACTAAGCCAGTGCAGAGGAGGAAGAGCTGGACGAGGCCACCGGTTTTTCGATGCCCACCAGCCAGGAGGTTATGCTCCTGGAACCCATAACCCCCCACACAAGATGTTCCCCAGGCATCGTCCAAAGCCAGGGAAGGCCCATCAGGTGAGTCCCATTACTTTCCCTAAACACACATGGGTGGTGGTGGCAGGCAGTGAGGGGCAGCTGTGCACGTCTCACTCAGCCTTCTCGTCCTGAGGATCACGCAGCAGCCTGTGTACGTGGGTGCTCATGGAGCACCAGTCCATGGCACACAGCCCCAAGAAGCTGCAGCAGGAACCTTGTGCTCTTGTTCACAAGGTGTCTGGAGAGACCTGCCTTACTCCTGAAACTGGGGTGGGACAACCTCAAAACACAAGCCACCACTAGAAGGAAGCTAGGGTCATGGACATACAAACACACACACACACAGAGCAGTGCCACCCACAGCACACAAGCATGCCCACGCTCTCAGGGCAGCATCTGCTCCTGGGGACAGCAGGGCTAGGGGGAGGAGCGTCTGCTGCTCACACACACCTCCCCCCAACACACTGTCCCTCTCTCCTCCAGTAGGCAGAGTTACAAGTCCTCTCCCTGTGGGACCTTGCTATTTCCAGACCCAGCGTGTGCGCAGCACAGATGGAAGCCTGGCCACTCTGTGACTCCCTTCGCACACGTAGTCTCCCGATCTGGCTGGTACCTTCCCATGCCTGCTCATCCCTGGGACTTGCATGTAGTGAGACTCCCCCCTT